GGCTCTGGGATAGGCATAGTTTGAAGAGGGGAAATAATACTAAAATGCATGACTGTCTTATGAATATTGGTTTCCCTTGCCTACTATTATAAAATAGACACTTGAGTGGGATAGAAAGGAATGTCGGGAAACATGATTAGAAAAAACTTGTAAGCCCGTCTTCAGCCTATAATTGATTAGAATACCTAAAAGGGGTTCTAGAGCTTTCCAAGCAAAACAGGCCTCATGCAAAGCCTTTGCAGAATGTAGGACCTTAGGTAGAATCCTGAGTCCCATCCAGAACCTTATGAGGTGGGACATTCCCACTAGCAAGGACAAGCAGACCAACCTGGAACAGCTAGAGCAACAGAAGATATATCTTCAAAGAAAGGTCATAAGGAAAAACCCAAAACAAAAAATGTCAGCATGACTGGCTGATACAAGAATAAGCAAGCTGTTCGCCAGAAAACCATCAAGGCAAGCAATCAAGTTCCTTCAGACAAACCCCCTTCTAAGACTGAAACTCAAAGGGAACGCATGAACAGGCATGTAAGCTTGCTGGCGGTCACATTGGTCTACTGGTGAGTGGAAGAGGGGGAAAGGTAGCAATGAAAAAATGTGCTGATTTCAACCACAGTCCATTGACTCTCTTTGACCTGGAGATGAGAGAGAGAAGAGTAAGGGCTGGTTGGTCCAAAGTGTGGTGAGACCTGGGGATATTTGAGCCCATGGACAAGGACTTAGCCACAGAGGGTTAGAGCTGAGAGTGAAGCATCCAACTGATATGAAGTGAGGAGAGATGGACAGGAACACCCAAACTTGCAGACAGTACCCATTTGACCTAGCCTCGATGGCTTGATAATCAGAACTTGACTACAGGAAGATTATTAAAAAAAAAAAAATTTTTTTTTGATAAAGGAAAGAAGAGTAAATTGCTATAATTTGATGACCCTGACCTATACTCATGGAGGTAGTAACTCTAAATATCAACAGAGAGGAAAGGAGTCTTTATATCAAGTACCAATGCTATCCCCTCTGTACACAGTGTAGATAGGGACAGGCAACTTAGACATTGGCTACCTAAAATGAGGGGGTGATAAAGGCATGAAGTGACTGGCTTACAAGATGTCAAGAGGAAGTTTAGTTTAAAAATATAGGGGGGAGAAAAAGTCCCCACTGCATAGTTTACAA